AAGAGCTGGGAAATCTGACAAGCCTGCAGGTACTGAACCTTGGCTCTCAGGGATCGCGGTTCAATGGAACGATTCCAGAAGAGCTCGGGCAGTTCTCGGAACTACGGTTTCTAAATCTTGGAGCTGTGAATAACTGGAATTCGGAGAAAAAGTATTACATGACCGCTACAAATGAACTCAGAGGCACCATTCCCAGGTCCCTTGGAAACTGCACAAAGTTGTGGTACTTGGATTTCTACGGCAACGGCCATCTTACAGGTGTGATCCCAGAGGAGCTTGGAAAACTTATACACTTGGAGTATCTCAGTTTCGAGCAAAACAATTTCACAGGAGCTGTACCACATCAACTGGGGAACTTGACCATATGCGAAAACCTTAATTTTCGATCCAACAGACTGCAAGGGCATCTACCTGTGGGACTGGCAAATCTGTCTCGGCTCGTCTTCCTCGATGTTTCGTCGAACCTTTTCACCGGAAACCTGGTCCATGACAGTTCCACATCATGGTCTGAATTATTATGGCTCATTGCAGAAGGCAATTCCTTTAGTGGAACATTTCCAGAGCTCCTCCTCTCTTGTCGCAACTTGGAGGCGTTGTATCTCAACAACAACAACTTCAGTGGCAGTCTGCCTGCGGACCTTGGGAGGCTGTCAAGTGCGAAGTCCATTTACATCCACAACAATATGTTCGAAGGAGAGCTCCCAGAATCTTTAACAAACGTCAGCTTTCTCACCGATCTGGACCTCTCCAACAACAAGTTCACAGGTACTTTGTATGCGCTGAGGAATTCAACCCTCCTGGAAGTTCTATATCTGGGAAATCCGGATTTGATCCAGAATTCATTTACGGATCGTCTGACGGATGAGAGGTACCTCTCCAACAACAAGTTCACAGGTCCTTTGGATGCGCTGAGGAATTCATCACTCCTCGAAGTTATGGATCTGGGAAGTCCAGGTTTGGTCCAGAACTCATTCACGGGACCTTTGACGGATGAGATGGTGAGGTCCTGGCCGAACCTGGAATTTCTGTTACTCGAAAACAATGCTTTGAGTGGAATGATACCCACAGCGCTCAGTAATCTGACCCAACTCAAATGGTTGCTTTTAAATGGGAACAAGTTTGATAGAGGAGTTCCTGAAGAGTTTGGAGACCTGAAAAATTTGCAAGTGTTGTTGTTAAATGATAATGAGCTCACAGGAAAGATTCCCGCTAGCTTGGCTAACATTCAGGATTTCATAGAGATGGATTTGGGAAATAACAATCTAACAGGCTCCATACCCCGCCAGTTGGGCAACCTCACCAACATCCGGATATTGGGATTGTATAGTAATCATATCACCCGTGAGATTCCACCGGATTGAGGGAAACTACAGACCTTGCTAGAACTATACGTGTTCAACAACAATCTCACCGGCAGCATTTCAGTTATCCTAAGCAACTGCAGCGCTGTGCAGACGATCATACTTAGTCACAATTCTCTGGGAGGGCAGCTGACGCACATAAATTTCACTAGACAAAAATATTTGAGCTTCTTGTCTCTCAGTGGGAACCAATTCAGTGGACTGTTTCCTGTCACATTATGGAACTGCTCTACTCTGAAATGGTTAGATTTGAAAAGCAACCACTTGTCAGGAGTGTTGCCGAATTTTGATGTTCTGATTTCGCAACTATATGAGCCTCAGTCACAGGGCTTATTCTTGAGAGGGTTGCAAGTGTTGAGTCTGGCCTCTAACAACTTCAGCGGCTCCATACCTTCTTCGATTTGGAAGCTGCGCGCAAGTGCTTGATCTCTCTTCCAACGCGTTCACTGGTGTATTGCCTCAAGACCTCTCAGGATTGAAAAACTACAAGCTTCCCCTAGAGAGCAAACTCGAGTCAGCAAGCGACTTTCTGAATAGACGTGTCTTGATAGAGATATCACTCAGAAAAGGAGAAAATACTTTGGAGTACACATACGTGTTGAACGCACTAACTTCTTTGGATGTTTCTCGCAATCAACTTACTGGAGAACTGCCCGCGGAGTTGGGCACATTGCATGGTCTTACATACCTGTTCTTGGCCGATAACAATCTCGAGGGATCTATTCCCACAGAGTTTGGAGAAATTGTTGACCTATTAGATTTAGATTTATCAAAAAATCTGCTATCGGGTTCCATTCCAGTGTCATTGAGTAGATTGCGCTTGGGTTACCTCAACTTGTCGTACAATCAACTATGCGGTCCCATTCCTGTTGCAAATTCGTTTGACACACGCTTCTCAGGATCATTTTTTCCTGGAAACCCCAAACTGTGTGGAGTTTCCATAAACAAACCCTGCGAATCTTCTGCATTTAGTTGCAGTGGTCATATTGATCTTGATCCTGTAACAGAACTGGCAGACTCGTGGAGTTTGTATTTTCATGGTGTGTCCATGACGGCCTTCGCAAAAGGAGCTTCAATTGGGTTCGCGGCTATTATCGGTCTGATCACTCTCATACCAACCTTGAGAAATAAGTTTTTATTTCCAAAATACCGAAGGATCAAGTATACTCAATCTGACTATGGTCTCTTCCGCCGACCTTCTTAGATCTCTTTCTGGCATGATGAGAAATTTCCCGTACAGGAATTCATAATATGACGTACTTTCAATTTGGATGGCAGCGCGTGGGCTCACGTAGAAGCTTGTTAGATGACCGAAGATCTAGTGCAGATTAGGAGCTTGTGCAACGAGTAGCCGTGGTTACTTTTTGTACATGGTTGATAATACTGCAATAAAACTGATGAGATGCTCAATTAATGGTGTAGTGTTTGCATGCTTCAGTTTTAGTCATGCAAATTTAGTTTGCATCAAAGACATATAGATATTAGACAAATATACATAAAATCATAGAAATCGATGCCGTAAAATAGTCGCTTGTAAATTTTGAAAAATCGTGTCGAGAAAAGCATCGTGACTGTAGTATCATGATTGAAACAGTGCTAAACGTTTACTCTTTCGTAACACGCACAGGACCCCGAAGGACCAAATATGTCGAGCAGCGGCTTGACGGGAGAATTGTCTTGCTCTTCCAGACACTCCACTGACCGGCCGGGCTCGTAGCTCCCCATGGCTCTGGTCTGGCAATTGATTCAAAGAACAGGGCACAGGGCCCGAAGGACCAAATATATATATCAGCGGCTTGACGGGAGAATTGTCTTGCTCTTCCAGACACTCCACTGACCGGCCGGGCTCGTAGCTCCCCATGGCTCTGGTCTGGCAATTGATTCAACGAACAGTGACTGGTTCTAGAGCCGCAGATCTACGTCTATTAACAGTGCTGCAGCAGTGTACCACATGCATATACAGTATGTGAGTGATATCTCACACTCTCAGGACTAAAACCAAGTACGGATAGACATTTTCATTCAGTACTCATTATTTACTTCCTGCTCTGCAGGAAGTAAATACCATACTAACTCAGAGGGATGAGTGGGTGTAACGACAATGTGGCAGCGGAAGAGCAAAAGAGCTTTACGTAAGACCTCACACTTGGAATTTCAATCTTTCGGAAGTGATCTGGAGGCAATTTTCCCATCTAGAACAGCTAGTTCTAAAGTACTTGTATAAATAATTGTAGAATAATTCTACAAATATTTTTCTTCATTTATTCATTCATTTTCTTTATATTTGGAACTCTTTATCTTAAAGATGTTGTCCATGGATGCATTTGATGATCCAAGTTATGCGAGTAGTATTCAAAGAGTCAAGTATGTACAACACCGATATGCAACATACTCATATAATTAAATAATTACCTTTGACTCAAAATCGCGATGGCAAACTCGAATCTTGTATAAAATCAGTCAAGATGATACAAGTAACTCTAATTATTGCCAACTAACTTCTAGCTCTGTAAGTATGCATGACTTCTGTACTTCTTAATAGTTCTCAAAGTTTATCAGCTAATAACTATATTTTTATTATAGATTGTGATTTCAATATAAATCATAAATGTATAGCTTAAGTATACATTTTCATATGAACAGAGAGTATAATCTACTATAGATCCCGTTAAATTCCTTGCAACCAACTTTTGTTGTATGGGTTTAGTGATTGATCTCCATTGATAATAAATTAGCGGGTTGGGCCGGAGGCACGTCTTGCAGGTTGTAAAGTTGAAATCCATCGTTGGCGCAACTGGGAATGGCCTCCGGTCAGTGATCCCGATTGTTTCCGATCGTGACAATGCAAGTGCGAAATTGGAGCATCTCTAGAAAGAAATATAGGTTGTATCTTGAGCCTGCGAATTTCATACTGTAACTTGTAAGTCGAGAGAAAGAGATGGCTGCTGCAGCATGTCAGCATATATGAAGAAAGTATAATACGTGTCCAAGGTTGTGGATGACAAAAAGCATGCCGGAATTGACACTTGTATTTTGAACTTCTTGGTGATTTTGTTATTTAGCGAAAAAAGCAAAAGAAATCCCCTCCAGGCTCCCTTGCTCCAATCACCATTGTACTGCGGCCTCTTCTCAACCGAATCCTATAACTTTCACAGCAAAGACCGAACGGGAGCAGCTATAATATCTAAAACTTGTCGGATTCTATCCAAATGGTACAGTCCTCAGCCTGATGCCTCTGTTCAATACGTCTTCAACTAGGAAATTATTATACTCAGATGCTCGGTAGCGTAGAGGATACTTCCGAAATATCTTCTGACTCCTACCTTATCTACAGGACTTTGGAGGGAAGATTCGGAAGGTGCGCCACCAATTAAGTCCTGCGCGGGCTCGATTTATCGGATTCTTGCAGTTTAGCCATCTGTCCCTTTCTTCTTTTCGTACTAAAACTTTTTTCTTATGACTCGTTTCCTTCAGCATCTAATTATACCTTTTCCTGGTATCTTTAGTGGGTGAAAACAATTATTTTCCCTGCCACAGGTCTACAACACTCGACAGTGTTCTTCAGTTTAAGACTTGACAACAAAGTCTACATGCAAAAGTGCGTCTGTATCCTAAGCCTGCGGTCAGACAAAATTTCCTTCTTTAGTTCGATTTTCACACACAATTGGGATCCCATGTTCTGCTCTGTTTCATCCCTGAACCTACAGACTTAGTCGGCGGCTTTCATCGGATTCTGCAATTGAGCTGCACAGATTTAGAGGTTAAAAATATGGAAGGCTTCATAACTGTGCTCACGAGCTGGTCTGAGGAGACTGTTGCAGCACTGGTCTTGCTCTACATCCTACTCAAGGCTTTCAAAACAGTTATACATACGGCCTGGAGACGACCTCCAGGGCCTCCAGCATGGCCAGTGATTGGCCATTACCAGTACCTGAAATCTGGGTTACCTCACCATTCCCTGACCAAAATCGCTGAACAGTACGGACCCATAGTGTGGCTGCAACTGGGAGCGGTAGGTGCTGTAATTGTATCTTCCTCGGATATGGCCAGGGAAATTCTGAAAACTCAAGATCACATATTCGCCTCTCGTCCTGCAGGGATAATAGGAGATACGCTGTTTGCGAAAGGTCAGGATTTATTGTTTAGCCCTTTGAATGACAACTTTCGTCTGGCCCGGAAAATCTTTACCACAGAACTTCTTTCGCAACAGCGGGTCGACTCATTTAAGGTACAAAGCTACATGGTTGTACATGAGTCTGTTCACGAGCACTATCTCTTTCTAACATAGTGTTGAGTATATGCGACTTCTCTCATAAGAATGGTCTTTTTCAATTTCTAGGGCATCTCACCTGCAATGTCAGTAACTATAAAATGCTGAATTGCTGTATAATTGATAAACTCAAATTGCTGTATAATTAAAGAAAATATACAATACGCAGCGCTGCTGTTTTCTGTCCTTGTGAGCCAGAACATTCTCACTTATAGTTCTTACTTTCCACCAGATTTTGCCTTCGTAGGTTCTTCACAAAATTTCAGACAGCAGAAAAGAAGTAGAGACCGCAAGTAGAGACCGATTTCTGTAGTCAAGAAGTCGGAGAAATCGGAGAAAGACCGATTTCGCCGAGACCGATCAGCTGTCGTTGAAATTACAATTCCCTACGTTTAGCGGGTGCAGCCTGCCATCATTATTTCGCGCCGCTAACGTTTAATACTAACTTGTGCAGGGTCTGAGGCGAGAGTTGGTTTTGAAAACGATGCGAACAGCACTTGAGGAGGGCCATGCCAATCGCTACTTAAATTTATCCGATCTATTGCACGACCAGTCTATGTCTTTGTCGACTAGAATGCTATATCGAATGGATGGACATGCTCAGAATAAAGAGCTTATTGAGATTATAAGAGATTTATCAAGTACAGGATTTCTCGTAAAAGAAGAGTACTTCCCTTTGCTGAAGCTACTAGATCTGAGCGGACAACTTAAAAAGCTGAAGAAGTTAAGTGAAAGATATTTTGACCTTATGGATTCCATCATCGACAACCGCCTGAAGGAAACGACCAAATCGAAATCGAATACTGAAGAGGACTTCTTGGACGTGCTGTTGGCAAAGAGCAATATTTCACGTGTTCAAATCAAAGTCCTTCTTCTGGTTTGTGATCAGGGCTGACCTTTTCTACTCACATAATTTAATGCATGACGAGTATAATCATTCGGATATGGATAACTATCTGTGAGTTTATGAGAGTGCATGTTCTGTTTCAAGTTTGCAAGCTCAGTGCAGAAAGAAGTGTAACCATAACAGTAGCAATATTGAAGGGAATATCAAAATATCAATATATTCACTCGATGTATTGACTTGCATCTTGATGCACAAGATCATTAATATCGGTGATTCTTGAATCAGGACATAATCCTTGCTGGAGGTGAGACTATCCCTGATACGATTGTGTGGGCTATGACTGAGCTTCTGCGGCATCCCAACGTTATGGAAAGACTTCAGAATGAGCTGGACGATGTGATCGGTAAGGAAAGGCTAGTTGAAGAATCAGATCTCAAGAAACTCGAGTATCTGCAGGCAGTGGTGAAGGAAACACTACGGCTGCACCCAGTCGGTGTTTTGGGAGTTCCTCACGTGTCTATCGAGGCAACAAAAGTAGCAGGATACGATATACCGGCCAGCACCCGGGTCATGGTGAACTTTTACGCCATTGGAAGAGATCCCAAGGTTTGGGAAAACCCTCTGAAATTCGATCCTTCAAGATTCTTAAACAGCCCTATAGATGTGAAAGGGCAGCAATTTGAGGTTCTGCCCTTCAGCTCTGGGCGAAGGAAGTGTCCGGGCATGCACTTGGCTCTCGTCTCTGTGTCGTATACTCTCGCCCAGCTGATTCATGCTTGTACAGTCTCCCTCCCCGAAGGCTTCACTCACCTCGACTTAGATCTGGAAGAGAAGTTCGGAATGTCCGTATCGAAGAAGAATCCTTTGAATCTGCTCATTCAGAAGCGATTGCCTTCGGACGTCTACGGTAGGACAGAATTGAATGTTTCTGGCCAGTAAAGAATGAACGCTCGTTCATGTCGATTCTGCCAGCTAAGGCTTCAAAGGAAACTAAAATAGATATTAGTTCTTTGAGATGCGCTTTTCAAATAAAGCCAAAAGATCCTTTTGTGTTTACCATATTCCAATTATGATTTTGAATGTGGAGATGAGCCCAGTCAGTTATTTCTCTGTCAAGCTATTATTTGCTCTCTGTGGACTTAGTCCCTGTTGGAAGTTGGACAGTTAGAAAAATGATCATATTGGATAAGATACGATGACCAGTGAACTATATGAGTTATGATTTCATCACGTCAGAATATGAACCATCAACATATTTAAAATTTCGTAATAACAGAGTTCAGATATAAGACTTCAAATTGATCATTAAAAAACTTGTATCTTTTCAAATTTGGAATCCAAGCTGAAATGACGTTAAGTACCAACTACTTATCAATAAGGGCATATTTAACTGAAACTGTCTTTGAATCTTAAACGCCAGACTTAAAAAAAGACTTCAAGGTCTATCTTACTCAAGTTCAAGTAATCTCTGTTGTAAGTTTAACAACAAATCATTCATTCCATCACTCTCCTAAACATCACAAAATAACCCGTATTAAAACTACATTTTTCGAAAATTTGCCAGAACAATTTCACAACACCAATAATGCGCAAGTTTTACCACAATATTTACTCATTAAATGTTGTTGTTCCAAAAAATCCAAATCTACAATCTTGTCATCATCATAGCTTGAAAGACTTATCATAGCAGACCTAAACTTACCATGAGTCTCAAATAGTTTAGGTTTATTCATATTATAAGCATTACTTAATGTCCACGATAGCCGCCCTTTTTAAGTTTCAAACTCAAAAGCAAATCATGTGAAGACTTAATTTGAAATCAAACTTCTTAAGTTCAATATTTCTAACAATATTGTAAGCCTAAGAGATTTCATATGTACCTTCTTACCTAAGTAATACTTTTGTTCCGACATATGAGAATCTATGTAAATATGCATGCTAATACATAGGTGGCGATAAATTACCTATTCAAATTATTAAATCCACAACTTTTGTTATTTTAATTAGTTTTAATTATACGATGCTAAATAAATAATTTTTAAAACGGATCTTTATAATTTTACAGATTATATATAAGCTTAATTATCAGAAAACGAAAAAAATATATTTTTCATTATTTACATGTGTCGAGGAAATTCTTGAAGATTCTAGAAAATTTTAGAAAATAAAACTAGAAAGGAAAAAATTTTGCTTTGAATTTATCACCGTTTCCATTTTATTAGCCTTAAAATGATATATCCACAATACAATTAGCACAAAGAAAACGAGTAAATGGACAACAAATGATACTTTTGTGAAATTTTCTATATTTGAAGTAAGGAGATAGGGTAAAGTGGCAAAAATACTGTTTTTGGATTGAATATGAATACATATCAAGAACTTATATCTTTTACTATAACCATGCTCCTTGGGATATGCATCTATAAAATTAGTTCCATTGTTTCCATATATAACTGGTACGGATTGTATACAGGAGACGAAAACCCGAGGCCCATGGTGGGCCTCTTACACCTAAATGGTGCAGGATCTGAGGCGAGTTTTGCTCTTGAAAACGATGTGGATAGCATTCGATGAGGGTTATCTGATTAATTACGTAAATTTACCTGATGTAATGCACGAACGTTTTATATCCCTGATTGCTCAAAAGCTATTTCGAATCGATGGACGAGGTCAAAATAAGGACTAATAGATGATAGACTTAGAATATATCTCATTCAACGCAAGACCAGTTTATGACCTTAACGACAGAATGCTTTTCCGAATCGATGTACATGCTCAGAATGAGGAGCTTATTGAGATTATCAGATATTTAGCAAATACAGCATTGTTCATATAAGAAGAGTACCTGCCTTTGCTTAAGGCACTAGATCTGAGTGGACGCGTTAAGACACTCAAAATTTTAAGCGTAAATTATTTTTACCTTATGGATTTCAATATCGACAAACGCGTGAAGAAAAATACCTATTCGAATTCGAATGGTGAAGGGGACTTCTTGAACGTCCTGTTGGCTATGAGTTTCTTTTCGCGTTTTCTTCTGGTTTATGATATATGCTTTCCGTGTTTCCGCTCGAACTTTTAATCGAATATGTCTTCATTTTGACTTTGATAATCAGCTATGAGTCCGGAGAGTTGACGTTATGTTTCAAAGTCTTAACGCTACGTTGAGTCTTCTCTCTTCTGCACATCCATCAACATTGTCAAAGTTGCTCATTAATCTTCTTACTTCATTCCTTGGTTCCGTCTCGAGAGATTCATACCTGGACTTGCAGTTTCAGCGTAGAAAAAAGTGGAAGGATGGCATTGGCCATAATGCTCATACTATTGAAAACCTTCATCTATAATCTCCCGTCAGTCTTGCATCCTGTATGCACAAGATAACTAATATTGGTGATTATTCAATCAGGACATAAATCTTGCTGGAGGTGGAGACTAGCCCTGACACGATTGTGTGGGCTATGACTGAGCTTCTGCAGCATCCCAACATTCTGGAAAGACTTCAGAATGACCTGGTGAAGTAGAGGTGAAGGAAACACTACGGATGCACTCATTCAGTGTTTGGGAGTTTCTCGCGTGTCTATCGAGGCAAAAATAGTTGCAGATTTTCTTGTTATTATCCCGCGAACATCATGGTTCCTTAAATAGAAGTATTTTTAGTCCCGGAATTATGATTAATATTTATTGAGAGTGTTCAAACAGTATCACACATCAGTATAGTTGAGGGAATCTTGTTGAGGTGTGGTAACCCACTGTTTGTTTTTGGTCGGAATTAAAACATTTTTGGAAAATAAATACCGCGGCAGCAACTGTAAATAGTAATCGGTACGTAAAATAGAGTAAAGAAGGAGAATCGCGGGTCACGGAGAATCTAGGGGTTGGGAGGAGGGCTTAGGCCAAGGTCAAGCTCCTTGGACGGAGCGGACAGTTTTTGCGGGGGAGAGCGCCTTCGGCGCCGTTGGCAAAAGGTTCTTTTGTGAGGTGTCTTCGGCGATACGCCTTTGGCGCAAGCAGAAAGAACCGCCTTCGGCGCAGACGCCTCCAGAGGATTTTTCGCTGAAAACGTATGAAGCACGCGCCGCGAACGCCTTTGTCACCGGGAATACGACCTCGTCACTTCGTACGCCTTCGGCGGTACGTTCCTTCGCCCCAACACCTTCGGCACTAGCGCCGCCTTCGTCGTTAGGTTTCGCCTTCGGCGGAGCGCCTTCGGAGGAAGAAGAAAGGACAACGGAAACAGCGGAAGTCCGTACCTTCGCCGCGAGCGACTTCGGCGGTACGCGAATGGAGAACGGCGTCGCTAGAAATTGACGGAATAAAGATTGAATGTACAAGTGTGGGAATCCGCGCAATGGCGGAGCGTGAATTCGCGCGCGCGAATTGGGCCGTTACGCCTCCGCGCCGGCATCGCATTCAAGCGGGCCGCGGCCAGCCCAAGTGTCGAACGTTGAGCAATCATGATCGCCGAAGTAAGGGACTCATTCTCACATTTTCAATTTCGCATTCGCTGGAGCTCGCGACGCGCAGCAGTGTAATTCGCGGTGAACTTGCGGAGAGATTTTCGAGAGTGCAGGAAAGTGTGCGTGGATGTGGTAACACACTTTTTGTTTTTTTTGCAGAATTTAAACAATTTTAGAAAACAAGTACCGAAGCAGTGTCTATAGTTAGAAAAGGGTATGTTAAATAGAGTGGATTGAGGAGATCGTCACGAGGTCACGAAGAATCGCGAAGTTGGATGTACCAGCGCCAAATGTCTTCGGCGCCTTCGGCAAGAGCTCCTTTGCTGAGGTGTCTCTACTCACGCGCTTCCAGCGTTTAAGAAAGATACGCTTCCGGCGCAGACACCTCCGGAGGAGATCTTGCTAAAGACGTCAGAAGACGGCAAGGACCTCTGAAGGCTTCCGACCATGAGTGCGCCTTCGGCGATGCGCCGCTAGCGCGGAAGGGAAACCTTCATAACGATCAGAATACACGGTAGTTCCAGTTCGTTGAGGTCGCATTAGAAAGAGCTCGGGACGCTCGTTCTAACGAGCTCAAGAGCGTTGGAGATGGAACAGGGACGAAGAAGTTATGAGCATCGGAAAACTCGTAGCTGGACATGCGCCGTTCGCGCTAGGGTTCACCGTCGGAAAGGACTCCCGTACGCCTTCGGCGATGCGCCTTCGGCGGAATCACGCGCTCATGGAAGGAAATCAACTCAGAGGCGAAAGCGCGTTTGGCGGCTGCGCAACGGAAGAAAAGCGCCGGCCGGATGTACGCCTCCGACGTGGCGCGGATAGGCGGATGCGCTGGCATGATTTGCGCCGGCGGGATATGCGCCGTCAGCAATAGACGGGGCAGAACGGACAAAACAAGTGGTACGAATACGCGCCGGCGTAATTCGCGCCGACTTGATGTGCGCCTCCAGCGAGGCGCCGACGGAGAAGGACTACGCCAGCGGCGATACGCCTCCGGCGATGGTCAGGTTAGGAAAAGACAACATAGCCGACGCATACACTGCGGCAAACTCGAGTCCGGAAGACGGCGCCGAAACTCGAGTCCGGAAGACGATGGCGGCGGGAGAATTCAACATTCACGCATGCGAATGCGCGCAGTGCGGAGACGTGAATTCGAGCATGCGAGGGCGAACCGTTAGGCCGTATAGCCGGCTGCGTAATTGTAACCAGTAAGAACGTTGGACGATCTTGAATTCGGAGAAGAAAAGACTGCTCTCCAGTCTCATTCTCTCATTCTTGATTTTGCGATTTCCAGCTTCCAAGATTACGCGCAAGGGCGGAGAGATCTGCAGTGAGAGGAGAGAGTGCGGAGACGAGTTGCGCAAGGATCTTGACAGACCTTGCAGAGAATTTGCGAGTAGCGAACTTGAGCGCGCAAGAGAAGAGAGAGCGATTGCAGTCAGTGTTTGAGCGGCCGACGCGCAGCGGCGATTGTGAGAGAGCGAGCGGAAGGGAGAACGTCTGTGCAGGAAACGCAATGTCGAAGGTCCCCCAGCTGCGAGTGTCTCCACTCAGAGTGCCGCAGAT